ATGTTTTAATTATTGCCGGAAAGATTCAGCAACGTGTGGATCGTTTGTTAGAACCATCGTTAGAGATCATCAATGACCACATGTCTTATGAACAGACGACATACGAAACAAGTGTGAATACATGAGTAAACATTGTTATTGATTCTATTGTTTTTTTGCTGATATGTTTAAACATTTTTTTGTTGAAAAACTTGTGTTGTTGTCGTCTCAAATTCAGCGAATATTTATCCATTTGTGCGACAAGCATGTTTCTCATATATCGTCACATTATCTTAATTATTTATATCTGGTTTTCTTTATTCATCTTTCACTTTCTCTGATGATCACGAAAAACTAGTGTTTCGCTTCAGAAAATGCTTTTTTCCGGTCGAAAAATACAAAAAAATCAGAAAACTTTAGTTTTCTGCAAAAAGCATAACTGTTTCAAAATGTGTAAAATTTTCTAGTTTGTTTTTTTAAAGCTTTGAAATTTATTTTGTCATATGGAGCATCAACCACTAGATATACAATAGTGACCAAAATTATAAGACCACCCAATTGCTGTTCAATCTTTGCCATTTTTCCCTACAATGCATATTTTATTGCATTCACTTCTAGTGTGAAATATAGAGTGATCTCTGCTCTATCCAAGCACGATATGGAAATACCGTTGAACTATCCAACTTTCATGGGTTGGATTGTCCAAAAAAACTTCGGATATTTTGCTGGCCAAAATTGTAAGAGCAGTTGATGAATTTTCATGTTTTTATGCTTTTGGTGCGAGTAAATATGTTTTGTTGCGGACATTTATATAGACCATCATCTTCACGAAAAATGGGAACTAAAATGTTTTAAATGTAATGTAGAGTAAAATTGAGAAACGAAGTATAATATTGAACCTGCCGACATCTTTAATTCTAGAGCTTTTCTGAAGACTGAACATATTTTTAAATTCAGATGAACCTAGTGGTTGGTTATCATTTGACACAAATTCTGCTCCCTAGATTCACCTCTACATCACATCCATATTTGTGAACAATTAAAAAATATGATAAATTCTCGTCACCAAACAGGGACTTTGATTTAGCCCTTTGGGGACGGGCGACGTATATATACGTCCAGCTTCGAATCAACTCATAATTGATTTGTGTATACCTCTTACAATGTTTTTATGACCTGCGCTAGCACATAGACCGTTAATCTGTTATACTACCATTCGTATTGTGACCTCATTCACCTTTTTTCTTTTGCACTTATACCCATCACTTCTGTTCTTTCCTTACGTCATGTTCTACTGATATCATGTACGGTTTATTTTTTATTTATCTTCGCATACATTCTCTCTTTCATCATGGATTCTTTTTTTTTCTAGTACATTCTCGTTCCGTCGATTTCACTTATATATATAGGTGTATCTTTATTCGGTGGTAGTAAACTACAACTTCTAAATAAAGAACGTAACAAAACACTTTACACGTTTTTGTTTCTTTTGTAAATCAAAAGGGCAACAACCAGAAAATGCAGTAACAATGAAACTGACGAGGTTTCCAGTGGTGAATCAGAAATAGGGGTGGACCATTTAATTTAACGCGAGTTAATTAACGGCGTTAATTAACTAAAATCGTTAACCGTTAATACACTCCTGGACAAAAGTAACCGCCCCCTTGAACTGGTATCATTTGTTATGATATTTGGCTGATATTTTGGATAGAGACTGATCTCAGTGAACCCTGATCGCAAGCACCACCCCGCCCTCAATCGGTTGAGATACAGTAGAGTTATTAGTTCAGCAATATCATTACATTGTGAGAGTCATATCTCAGTCATCTTTTGACACTAATATTCGCGAAACCCCTCATTCGTAAGCACATTGATGGGGCTGTCTACGATAAAAAATTGGTAAGAAGTTAATCTAGAATAATGGAGTTCTGAAGTTCACATTGAAAACTTTCACCAAGTAATAAGCCATAGTTTTCACTAGAGAATCAATAAATCGAGTTCAACTCAACTAATTGAGTTAAAAATTTCAGCAATAAGTTCCCATGAGCTCCTAAGTTTATGGTAGAATTTTCAGACCTGTAGCGCAATGTTAAGCCGAGATAGAACCATGAGAAGGGTTCATCACGGTATGTTTTGTCAATCGATGAAATCACCCTATTATGCGATGAGCTTTGGATACAAGAAACTACGTATTATGAGCTACAATTAGCGCAAAAAAAATCGAAAATAAATTGTACAGAGACGAAATAGCAAACGAATATTTTACGAGATTGCATTACCATTTAGTTCTGTCAACACGTAATTTCTATAGTACCAATGTCCGAGATGCTCCCATATTATAAAAACTTGACCCTAGTCTCAATCCTGCTCATTCCTTGGTAAACCCTAGAAGGATCTTGTCAAGTTTTATTTATGATCCTATTTAGAATCCTCGTAACTTCCTGTTTCCATGATTTTTCAAGGTTAGACAGGATCCTGTTCAGGATTTCTTCAAGTTCCTGCTCCGATATTTTTTTCAATTGAGAATACAGGATTCTGTCCGGATTTATTCGAAATCCTTTGAAGGATCCTCTCAAGATTATGAGAAAGGATTGTACCAAGATTTTATTAGGTTCTCGTCAGGATCTAGGTCAAATCCTTCTATCAGTATCCTTTCAGGGATGAGAGTCACATTATTCGAAGATCTTGATAAGAAAATAATAAGATCAGAGAGAATACGAAACTGTCTAATCCTGCAAAACTCCAATCAGGATCTTGTTCAGAACTTTTCAAGAATATATGTTTCCAAATCTTGTAAGACAACGTCAATCCTAATCAGGATCTTGATAATAAAATATAAGGGTTTAGCAGAGATCTTTACAGATTGCTGCTTAGTCCACTCAACAATGTCCATTTCTTGAGATAGCCTTGAAGAATCTTGCAGAATCACACATATCAAGGATCCTGTGAGGTTTGATTCAGAGTTCTATCGAGGATTCGTTCAAGTTCTGGTTCGGATTTTGTTTTGAATCGAGCTTGTACGATCTTGTTAAGGTTCACTGTTAATAATATCCAGGAACTTCAGAAACATCTTAAAGAGAATTCGTCAAGATTTCATCAGGTTTAAGTCAAGATCTGTTCTAGATCCTGATACAAGGATCCTGCCAAAAGTTATCGTTGTATCGGGCAATAATCATATCAGAAATAACATACGACTAGTCAGAATCCTCAACTAAGAAGTCCTACCAAACCTCGATCAGGTTCCTAAGCGGAATTGTTCAAGAACGGGTATTTCGAATGCTTAAAAGAATACAAGTATCATCAGGATTTTGATAAGAAAATATAAGAAGCCAGGTTAAGATCTTTTTAGGTTTCTGTTTAGAGACTATTCAAAATTCAATTTTTTCGAAAACTCTGTCGGGAACCTATTAGGAATGAATGAAACAATACCGTGATGTTCTTAGCTATGTTCAGCTCAAGATCCTTTCAAGATTTGTAAATCTATAAATCATAACCGAATTTCAATACCAATGTTGAGTGAAATCTTAACAAAAATAAATAGAAAGATTTTTCAAGATGTTATTGTTTTTGTTCGAAACACGACAAAATTCTGATAAGTGAGTAATCTACTGGTATTTTTATCCTGATCTTGATCTGGTTCTCTTTTCATAAACAGAATAAATCTCAATAATCTGGAAAAAAAATTCCTAGTTTTTTTAAAGTTTTTGTAAAATTTGTTTTGAGATTCGGACGGCGGTAATGAATTTTTTTTAATCTTATCAGAAAAAGAAAATTGAAAATCATTAAATTGGAGTGTTTATTTGAATTTAGTCATCGTAAATTTTTTTGTTAAACATATTATTTTAATTAGAAATCATTCGATAAAAACTGCTTGTAGTTTTGATTACGTATGAAAAAAATCTAGCTATATTTTTTAAATAGAATTGAAATAAAAGGAACTCAAAATATTCTTTTTAAGTGGAATTGAAATTAAAAAAATTGTAAATATATTTTTTATATCGAATTGAAATTTAAAAAAAAAAGTAAAATTCCACCGACTCAAATAAATATGTGAAATGGCATTGCATTTTCAAAATTTTTTAAAAATAATTTCTACCTACATAAAATTCAAATAAAAGTTTATATTAAAGTCCGAAATCAAAATATTGAATGTTGAAGTAATATAGAATGACATGACACATCCAGCTCGGTAAGCTGATCGGTATGTAAACTGAAGGTATAGAGATCGATACTCTATATGTTCATTTCTCTTATATTCTATGTAGGAAACCCTGCAAAGATCCTTCCAAGAAACTGATAACATCCTAGAGGAAAGCTAGTACTATCCTAAAAAGATCCTGTCAAGATATTCAAGGAAATCTAGTCTAATCCTGAAAGATACGTTCAGAAATCTGTTTTTTTTTCAATTCTGAATTATTAAAATCCTGACAGGATCGTGAAAAAACGTAGCTACACACTTTCTTCAGGATTCAGCGTTTCCTCGGGAAAAAAGAGCAAATCCTTGTAGGATCCTTAACGCATCTCTCAAGGATCTTGCACTGAAATATCAAAGATTTTCCCTAGGATAGCAATTAAATATTGGAATTTCAAAAATTTTGATTAAGTGACTTCAGATGGCCTCAAAAGTGAACGATTTTTTCTATCAAACCGTTACATTGAAAGTCAAAATTGAATGAAGAATGCTTTCGAAATATCGTCCACATCATTCCATTGATGGTTAAATTTCTATGTTCAAGTCAAAGGTGATAGTACACAATTGTATTTTTCAACGTTTCTCTGATAAAAAAACTATAAGTAACCCTCTATTATAGGATGTTCCAAAAGTCCGATCGAAGATTAGATGTAAATATCTTTGTTAGCTGTGAACTATATTTCAAGCTTGTTTTGAAACTCTCTAATAATAAATTATGCGCCACAAAACCGTATGAATGACATACAGAAACTATGCTTGATGTTAAAATCCAGTGGATGATGTCTGCTGCTGCGTAACAGAATAATCATGTGCTTTTATTTAAAAAACAATGGGACGATGTGTAAGTTAACAATAAAAATTACTATTTAGCGTGGCTCTTACACTAGAAGTATTCCTGAAACTTGGTAATTCTTGTGAAAAGAGAAACATCTCACATTATTTTGAGGTTTATCTCGACGATACGTCCATAATCAGATAAAACAAATCCTCTTTGCCTTCGAAACGTGGTACTGAAGATTGATTGATATACTTTACTATAAAGAAAAAAACAACACTCATTGCCGTATGGTGCATCGAAGCGTGACATATTTGAATCGAACGATATATAGGTGAATTAAAATATATCGTAAACTTGCACGTGGAAAGAAAATTTGGCGATACTTTCTACCATTCTCTCACCTAATTATGCGCTTCGATTTTTCCGCTTTTCTTCTATCAATATGGCTCGTGATTTTTCTGTGTTACATACGCAAATCATACATGATAAAGACAAAATGGATGATGACAATCTTCAAAAACCGAATACCTATAACAAATATCTGCCCTTCTACGATTCAATTCAACGCCAAACTGATGAGGAATTCAATGAGATCCGTACACAACTCTCACGTATTATTCAATTGTGTGAACTACGATCGGGTTTTCCACTTTGGTCTGTCAAATTGCAACAATTCATCTCACTTCACGGCTACTGTTTTACCAAAGCCGATCATCTCAAACTGATCAATTTTTATCTTTCCGTCCTTTCCATTGATAATTTAAGTTTTAGAAATGTCAAAATATGTTTTAATCTACTCCAAGAACTCTTACAGTTCGTATTTTTGTTTTTTTTTCTGGAAGAAATCGTTGTTAATGCGTATTCTAGGAAAATCCGTCTGATCACTCGAGACGACTTGATCATCGATTGGCGATTATTATACAGATGGGCCAAACTTATTCGTTTCCATCATGATCAAGACTATTCACTTGTAGTAATGCCTAAGTGAGTAATACTCGATCAATAAATTAATTTCTACTGTTGTTTCTTGTTTCTTCAGTGACATCGAGTCGTCGTTTTTCAATTGCATATACTACTGTCGTTTCTATTTTTCGGTCACAGCCACTCAGGAAATCTTGGATGAATTTCGCCCATGGCTTTGTCCATTCGATACGGCTTTCGCCGATGCTATATATTTTTTCAATCTCTTTCTACCAGTTGCCTTACCGCCTAATTTGCATCATCAAGGATTCAAGTGAGCTTTTGAATTTCTGGGCTTTTTTGAGAGCAATATATCGATCGATGTTTAGATTGTGGCTACCGGAATTTCTTGGCATTTGGGAGAGTGTGTGTAATAATCCAAATTGGGAACAGGTTAGCATGTTTATTGATGATGTTTATCTACTCTTACGGAGGTTTTTAGAATATGATTCATATTTTTTCCTTTGTCGCTTGGTACAATATTGGATACATTGATTGGGAACCTTGGCTTTCACACGTATGACTTATTTTGCACAAATTCAATCTAATAATCTCATTTTTTCATTTAGATTTTTACACTTTTCCTGAAAATGTTATCACTTCCGGTGGGCAATCTTTCAATAGCCCCACCGAAAGATGTACATTCAATACCTGTTATTGCATCATGGATCGTAGCAATGATGGGTAATGGAAGTCTGTGTCTTCAGTACGTACGAGATTCATTTACGGCAATCAAAAGCTTCTATCATCCGTCAAATATGGGTGATTTCCAAGAAGTTCTAATTCAGTTTCTCGTTCGATTAACTCAATCATTTGTCGATCGAGTCCATCTGTAAGTTGAACCTCTATCCTAGTTATATTGATAATCCCATAAATTATAGAGAAAGCAAAGCAGATCGTCTTTGGCAATTTAACCCACCTCCATCCTATCGATTAACCGAACAGGACATCACTGATTTTGTGAATTGTGTCAAAGAATGTGTGTTCATTTCCATTTTCAATAAAACTAATTTCAAAGATGCAGCAAAGGCATTCCGGAATCTGGCCATGCTTCGACCAGAACTAGTCGTGCCACCTATTGTTGAACAGTCTGTCTCTTTTATTTATTCAATTGATCGAATGTTTCGTTCTTCATTTATAGACTTTTTTCATCCGTCGACAGTATAACTGAACCACATCGTTTCACATCGATCTTGAATTGCCTGTCAGGCATCACACGCCAAATCGTTCAACAAACGCCGAATTTTCCTCAGGGTCAAACATATGTCTTACCCTTGCTGATGTCTGTTTTGCCCGGCATTGATTCAAACGATTTTGAGAAGACGAGCGAAACTTTTCAATTTCTAAAAGCAATTCTTATGCTTATTACTTGTGTCGATTGTTCATCAGCAATCAATACTCGAGACGATCTCACTCAGGTAGGATAGATTCATAGTTAGTTGTTTCAAATAAAGTATTGTCTGATGCTTGCACAGATCGAAAAAGAAGTATGTTTGTCAACGGCAAAATTCGAAGATTTCATCACTGAATTTCTCAATCGAACTTTTCAAATGATTGATATTCTTTCGACTGAAGTGTCCAATGCTCGTACAGTAACGAATGTGAAAGATGACACTACTGAGATAGAACTTACATCAGTAGTCACTGGTATCGTTCAACAGTGTAGTAGTAAAATCTTTCAGGTAAATAGCAAAACGAGAAAATCATGATGACCTATTTTATATGTTTAGGTGGTCCGAGAAAAGATCATGAACTTTCTTGTCGCTTCATCATTTACACCAAGAGTTAGCAAATTACTCACGGATCTGGTTCAACCCATTCTCGAGGTGAATCCAATTGAAACACTCAAGTATCTCATGCCACAAACATGCGAACGTATTGAAAAAATAGTGCATGATTCCGAAACGACCATACTGACTGATCACAAAGGTGATATGGAGCTTACCTGGTGTTTAATTCTCTTCTCCAAACTTCTCGAAGCTCGTGGTGATACTTTGCTCATCTACAAATCGATGATTTTATCCGTTTTTCATCGGTGTATTCATATCATTCATAAAGAATCATATGAAGCTGTTGCCTATGCAGCAAAGAATTTGCTTCAATCTCTTTCGTATGTCTATCCAATCGATTATCGGTTGACAGTGGAAAACATCGATGAACCATTCATTGACTTTTTGCCTATTAGAGTAAGTTTTTTGATTTTTCAGGAAAAGAAAGTCACATTCCGTTTAGGCATGGGGTCAACCTGTGGAATTTGACAAGTTACAGCCTCAATTCCATATACCAAGTGCAGAAGAAGTGGATTTTGCATGTGAATTTGTCGAGACATTCATCTATCCGGAACTGACATTGTTGAATGAGAAAAGCTCGAATATGTCCAACGATGAACGCCTTCGATCTCTTACAATTGTACATTTCATCGCTCTGGGATGCTTGCGAATGGTGCCACGTATTGACAGTGAAGAAGTATTAGATCTGTACGTAGTCCTTGAATAAGAAACTATCAATCAGACAAGATTTTTATTCTTATTAGTGCACTAACAGTTGCTCCTGTCGATTTCAAATACAAAGCTCAATATACAGTCTGTGCCAAAGAACCAAGTAAGTAAATCAAAATTCAACTTGATAACCATTCAAAGCTAAATTCGGCTCTAGAATTCAAAGAAAATCTGCGAATGCGTTTGATTATCGATATCGGAAAGTTACTCGGTTCGTTCTCTTAGAATGAAATAAGTATTCATATTGATTTTACTTGCTTTAATAGATCATCTAGTCGACAGACATTCGGACGATGCCTCGTCAATTTCAACAGCTCTGCAGGTATTTGTCAACCTTCTGAATCTAAACTTATTTGTGGTTGATTCCAGATCTATTCATTGCCATCGTGCTATTTTGGACTATTAGCGAACGATTATGCTAAATTAAACAATGATTTTGATATATTGAAATACTCATTTGAAAACAAACTCAGCGGCAGACGATATCATCCTCGTTTTGTGATAATCAAACGTCTAGCAAAAGAAATACAGGTAACTGGAAAAAAGGAGTTGCAATGTGATAGCGGTTGTTGTTTTACAGTCGTTTTCAATCGATAATTATCAATCGCTGACGAAAATCGATAAACAAGTGATACTCAAACTAGTAGAATTGTCTATTAATCGATACAGTCAAGTAAGTGAGGTCTTAGAAAGACATGTGTCATTACAGACGTTATATCTTAGGTTCGATGCATTGCACAAATCTATCTATTCACCATGTTACAGCGTTATGTCTTTTCATACAACGTAGTTGTCGATCGCATCCTGAAACTTCTTAATGCACCGGGTGAAGCTGATCATGACGAAATCAAAGTTTGTTCCTTGTTGTTTCTTTCAAATCATCGGTGTATTTCATTAATTAGGGTTGTTTATACATTCTACTCGGTGATGATGCCTTTTTCTTGCCTACAAAACATTCGTGGCCATTGCTTGAAAAACTGTGGCCATCAATTGCACGAACGACGCATGCCACTAAGATCAGCACACAAATTCTGATCGATCAAATTGTGGAGAAAATTACCAAACAGTTCGATATACCCGCAATCATCGAGGATACCAACGCTATATCCATATGTGCAGCGGTCGCTCTCTGGCGTCCGTTAGAACTTAAAGAAGTAGAAATACATGATCAAATTCGAGAAGAACATAATCAAGCAAACATTCAATCGTACAATAATCTCATGGAAACACTCAATTTGATATGCAATAACGATCGACTGCAAGTGTTACTTTTGAAAAAAATAAGATATTGTTGATTTCTCGAATATTTAGAACCTGGCGACAACAAGAGAGAACAGTCGTTTTTATCAGCCTTCTTCTTCAAAAGCATGTGCCGATTCCATCATCATGCATTCGAACATTCAGCAATTTTCTTGTTCATGACAATGTCAAATTACGAATGGTTAGTTGAAACATTTAACTGACAGAGATTATCTCATGTATATATTCAGGCAGCTTCTCCATCTATTTCAACCCTATGTCGTCTGCAAAAACTACCTCGAATCTATGTTGAAAAGACACTTGAGGAGATTCTGCATAGGCCAATTAACACCGAATGTCATCCTGGTGATCGTGATGATAATTTATGGTTGACAATCAATGATTATATACCACCAAAAAGCCAAGCCGAATGGGAACAAACCTGTTTTTTGGATAAGAGTTTTCATGGCTATTATAAGTGGCCGAAAATCATCAAATATCCACTGAATAAACGAGAACGATACACGCGAGAGAATATGCCAGAACAAGTAGCGATCTTGTACAATCGATTTATTGACAAAAACTTCGTTGCAAAATTCATCCAATTAATGGTATTGGATAAAGAAGGAGATAGCAGTTTCGATGTGAATCGATTTCGAATGTTTAAGGTTAGATAATATATATATCAAAGAAAGCAAAAAGATATTTACACATATTTTCGAATGAAACATGTCTAGGGTCTCTTTCGAAACTTTGGCTCGGCCTTTGTTGATCATTTCATGGAACAATTGTATGCACTTATTCGTGAAAAGATAATAGAGATACAAGAAGGAAGTCAACGGGTAGCCGCTGAAATTGTTGCTGGTATGATTCGTGGATCAAAATATTGGACTGTAGAAATGGTGAGTGACTCTGTCAGAATTCTAGTCTATTTATATAATGTGCTTCTAGCTTGATGAACTCTGGTCCAAACTCACACCATTTCTCAATGAACTCTGTATGAATCTCAGTTCGGAAGCAGTTCTTAACTGGGGTTGTTGTTTCTGGTTTGCTGTGGTCAGTCTGAACATATAAAAAAATATTCTACGAAATAGTTTTTCTGTTCAATAGGCCGATGTAGATCCTCGACGAACGTATCATACTGTTGAATTTATGCGTTCTTTGATAAACACTCCTTCAACAGCAAATACATTCATTGAAACATCTCGCTGGAATCTAGTTGAACAACTGAGGAATTTCGAATGGCGCATTCCTGCAGTTTGGCATGAAGTCAATGCCCATGCCAAAGACTTGCTGGAACATCCATACAAAGCCGTACGAGAGTGTATTGCTTCGTAAGAGATGAATTTCAAAGTTTTAGCCGTAGGATCTTTCTCTTTACACCATAGTGTTCTCGGCACATCACTGAGTCACGATATAACGTTACCCAATGGTCAATCAACACGTCATCCCAGTGTCAATCTTTTTTTCGATGGCATACATGAACGATTGCAACGAGCGATAGACATCTGTGAAAAGGCGCCTCTAGGTAGATTTTTCGTTGACTCCAAACCCTACAGAAATTTGTTCCTTATAGCCAATATTTCTGGTGAAATCGTTGGAATCGATTCGAAAGTTCGTCAAGCACTGAACTTTATCGAAACAGGTAACGACGATCTGTACTTCTATGGAAAACGACTTATTTCATATCTTGCTTAGTAATTCAACTCTGCATAGAACTAACTGGCAGATCTCTACAGCCAATAAAACATGGAATCATTCGGCTATTTCCTGACGTATATATCACTATAGGCTTTATTTTTTTAGCAGAAAATATTTTCCCTCTGCCTTTGTTTTGCTTAGCTCTGCAGCATCGAAAGTATTGTGGCCAATGATGAAAGCCTCCGAGACCGTTTAACACTCAATCGAATGGCTACTGCTGTTACTTATTTGCATGTACCTTTTATAGAAGCATTCATCGAACAAATAGAATATGTATGTATAAAAAATAAACAGATGAATATTGTCCACTCTGATGTGTAGGTGTGCAAAAGTTCCAAGTGGCATGCACGCCGTGCTGCGATTGAATTTGTTCAGCATATGATCTTCTGTAATCTGTTCAATGCTCGTCCTTTTGCACCACGCATACGTGAAATTGTTCTCAAATGTCTCTTCGATGAACAGCTCGAAGTGCGAACAATCGCCTCAGTCACTCTAGCTGGATTCTATCAATGTGGCTTCATTCAAATCACCAAGGAAGACCTGGTAAAAAATGATTATCTTCAGTTCCTTGACAAATATTGTTTGATTGACAGGAATATTTTCGTCTGATGAGCAAAACGAACTATTTCATCAGAGTCGATGGCAAGAAAGTGACATCAACCGAGAATATTGTCAAGCGACACGGTGGTGTGTAGTTATGTGTTATAGATAATTTGACAGTCATATTTGTTTCGAGTAGGTGTTCTTGGTCTGTGTGCGATAGTTCTTTCAAGTCCATATGATATTCCAATTCATATTCCTCGTGCTTTGATGCTTCTATGCGAACATTCACACGATCCAAATCTCATTCGAGTAGATAAGTCTTGTGAAATCAGATAAGATTCCATTTTTCGTTTTAGAAATCAATCAAGAATGCCTTGTCAGAATTTCGTCGTACTCATCATGATTCATGGCATGAACACCGTGAAAAATTCACCGAAGATCAACTTGTCATTCTAGCTGATGTCCTGATTTCTCCGAACTATTATGCCTGATCCAGAACAAGATCGATTTTCTATCTAATGCTCACTTTTTCGTGTTGTATTTCAGACAAAAATTCATTTTATTGTTATTCAAGAGATTTGTATTTTATTCTTCAATCAAGAGTCATTGTCTTATAACAAATAACTCCAGATAATACTTTTTTTTGGTCATTGTGTAGGTTGAATTGCCCTCTACAATACCGGCCAAAAGTATACAGTACACTGATCGGACATTAGTAAATAATCTAGGGTGTGGGTGTGGATGTGGGTATGTTTAATAGAAGAAGTAGACCCACGTCGACACACACTCACACCCACCCCACACCCACAATGATCATATTAATTTTCATTTGATTTTACTATTT